GACGAAAAAGGGAAAAAGGGGCGCCCCCCCGGTAAAAACGGTAAAAAGAAGATCGATGTTTACCGTTTTTACCGCAGATATGGTAGACGAAAAAGGGAAAAAGGGGCGCCCCCCCTGGTAAAAACGGTAAAAAAACAAAATTTTCGATTTTTAACGTGTTTACCGCGCAGATGCCTCGGATTAACCCCGTAACCCCGACAACTACGCTAAACCAGCACAGGCCGTTCAGGACTCGGTCTATCCCGGTCTATCCGGTCCTAACGTTAGTTTTTTCGGAAGCTGAACGTGTTTGCTGAAGATACCCCATAGTGTTGTTTATGCGAAACCTTGAATCTTTTGGTGTGGGATCGAAAGTCGAGGAGGTCCGCTTCAACTGAACGAGGTCTGCAACACGCCTTTGATATCCATTCGACAACCCGTCTATCCTCGCTGTGCTCTCGTTGGGCCCCCCAAAGGTGAGAATGAAAGGAACCAATCGCTGCGAAGCTGCCTTGTAGTGAGGCGTTGTCTTGTGCTGCGTGATTCCCTCGTCATCCGTGTAGGCTTCATAGAAAAGAAACCTGTTTGGGTTGTCCTGAGGGCGCTGACCGGACAAAGTCATGTTGCTCACTACTCTGATCTCTCAGCTCTGGATGGCTGTCGCCACAGTTGATGAGACAATGATACGTTCATTCTAAGTGTTGTGTTGTTTGATGCGCATGTCCCAACAAGCACCTTTGACACAATAGGTGCTTAGACCACGGACATGACACAACTTTGGTTTTCAGTACAGCAGCCAGTGTACAACCTGTCACAGGCTTACATTGTGAAATATGTCGTACCTTAGCAAAGACTGACATCCTGCATGCAAGTTGTCTGGAAATGCTGGCCAAACCCATGATTGCACAAATTCCTGTGCGGTGGCAAGTTCAGCACCCGCCACAGCACAAGGGAACTATGCTGTCCACACAGTGCTTGAGTTGCTGCTCAATCGCACCTTATGTTACCCACAAAACATGATTGCCTCTGGTTCCACTATCACAGCATGCGGGAGCCTTGCCGAAAACGGCCCGGAAATCTCCAAGTGCTGTCAAAGAAGCCCTGTCTCGCAGCAGGTCAAAACGGACGCATCCAGGGTCCAAAGACTTGTCTCTGGAGCCTGTAGCATCCTGTTCCATGACCTTGTCCAAGTCTGGCAAAGCCACATTGACGTGTCTGAAATCAAAAACACTGAGCACAAGGACTTCATTGGAGCAAAAGCTAAACCAAGTCCTTCTGAGATCAAGTTTAGCACCATGGCCCACCCCAGCTTAGTGAGTCAGAACTTCAGTCCAATTTGGTCGAGAGACCTTTAAGATATCATCGACTCGGTCTGGCTTGATCTCCACCGTCACCAACACAGCACTCCCCACGCTCATGGCCGGCCACACCGTGCTGGGCGATGCTTTTCTGATCCCTTGAGCCGCAACCAGCGACCGGCGACTCGCATCTTCCACTGAAAACGCCCCTTGCGACTTCGCAAGGATCAAACATGATCGAAGAGGAGGTCCCTTGAGCAAACAGGTTCGCCGGGAAGCCCACATGTCACATGCCGTCCTCGCTCATGCGACGCCAGTGCTCTCGCACCACTAGGGTCGACCTTGTGACGGAAGGCTTGGAGGCGGCCTGGCAACGAGAAAGTCACACTAAAGAGCAAAACAACTAGGGGCTCCTGGCATCGCTACGAACGGAGCCGGTGCACAGCCGTACGACGGAAACGTGTTTTGTTTCTCGGCCTCGACCGTCTTCCAGGCACGGCCAAGCAGTTTCAAGGCCTCATGCGAGACGTAAAGAGAATCGGCCGTCGGTGTGGTTCGGTGTCCACATCAGCTGGCGCCTGCACGGAAAAGAAACAAGAAAGAATTGAAAAATTGAAAAATAAACTAAAACTGCATGTTTCTACGTTCTGTCTCTAGTTTCTTCTTTGAACATTCTCTTAAAGTCCTAGGTCTTGCACTTACCCTCTACTCAAAGCCACAGGTCCGAGGTCCCTGGCCGGACAGATTTGGTCGAGTCGCAGGGTGTAGCACCTGGCCTAGCACCGAAATCGCGAAATCCCCGTGCCATGGTCACTGTATGGATTGGTCACCCCCCTTCTAAATGAAGGTAGAAAGGATGTTGCACATGTGAAATACTGCTGGGTCATTCTTTCTTGCCAAGTCTTTGGAACGCAACCCACATCCAGGATGTCAAAGCATTTATGTGCTGGCCATTTCAGAACCGGGAAGAACTGTGGAAGGGGGGTGCAGCAAGCAAATGCAAGGTGTGAGGTCTTTTAGATTTCATTGCTGATCTTGACGTGTGTCCTTTGCTGTCAATGTTTTGTGTGTGGACGGTGGTAGAGATTGTTGGACTGCAACTTTCACTGTGGATTCTTATCGGATGACATAGGTAGGAGTGACTCAGGCTTGTTCGGTTTGATGTGATTGTTTTTGGTCTGTGAATTCAAAAGAGGGGACAGCATCAATTGTATGGCCCAATGTTTGTTGTTGTTGTTGTTGTTGTTGTTGTTGTTGTTGTTGTTGTTGTTGTTGTTTTCTTGATCTCTCTTGTTCCTGTTCAATGTGTTATAGTTCTCCTCCGTCTTTGATTTGAAAGTGTTCTTTCCTTTCATGTCGTTTAGTTCGTTCGTGTCCTGTCGTTTCATTCCTTCCAACCTCAACTTTTCGAGTTCATCGTTTTTGTCGTGTTCACTTGCTTTGTGTCAATTCCTCTCTGTGCTTCATTTCGATGCATTGATGGCATAGGTCCTTTTCATCATCAAAGTGCTCGATGAATGCCCTTTGTTACGAGTAGCTTCTTGATCCTAGTTGTAAGAATGCTACTAGTAGCGATGCCAGGAGCCCCGTTCGTAGCGTCCTTGCTCCTAGTAGCGATGCCCTTTGTTGCTACTAGCGTCTTTGCTTTGAATTCGGTTTATTGAACCTGTCTTTTGTACTGTCAGTTATTCGACTGTATATACAGTATAAAGAGGCTATGTGGCCTATCCATTAAACTAGCACCCATTCGTGGCAGAACATTCACTTTTCCTTGTTTACAAAATTGATGCTTCAAAGCACATGCTTTGAAGGCATGCTGACGACACGAGCTGTGGAGGGCACCCGCTCGCGGATTGGAAGTCAATCACACACAACACATTCGTGAGACGGAACTTGGAGAGGAGAAAACGGAGAAAACTATCGCGCAAAGCCGCAAAGCCAAAGAAAACAATCACTCACCGGGGCTTGAAGAACTCTTAAGGTCCAAACTCCCCCACAGCCTCCAAAGGTTCAACAAGAACCTTAAATTTCAGAGGGCAACAAAATCAATGAGGTGGTAAGGCGCTTGATTGAGAAAAAAAAAGAAGAAAACAACTCTCAACTCTCCTACCTTTTACCATATCTTTAGGGGCGGGCCAACAGCTGATAATGTTGATCAATACAGGCAGCTGCCAACCTATCGACTGCGATGACTATCGACCATCATTGCCTTTCCTGATCCACTTGATGGGCTCATCCTTTTGTAGCTGACAGAATTACTTGCTACACAAAGAGTTGGGAAAGGTTGGATGTCGTGTGTGTGTGGGCGGGTGGGTGTTAAGTGAGCTCCAATGCTCGACTTTGGTAGAAATCTCTTCAGGTGGGCGAATCGGACCAAAAGGATAAAGTGCGAATCGAAACTCCGCCATGTCAGTACTCAGTGCCTTTCACCCCAGCGCTCCAGGAATTCTGAGACCTGAGACCTACTTCTTGACAGCCTTGCCCAAGCACCCCAAGCACCTCGAGGGCCTTGCCCAAGTGAGCCAAATGTGTAGCACACATGGCCTATGTCGATCCGATCAGCCCGAGAGCCACGGCCAGGAAAACGAATCTCACTGTGTGATTGACTCAAGTGGTTTCCTGAAAGGAAAACGACATTGTATCAGAACTTTTGCAGGTTTGTGTTTGCAAGTTGGTGAACGTCTGCAAAGATCTCGGCATTTAAATGCATACTGTGAATTGTACGCCGTACAACTTGAGTTGAGCAGCTTTTGACCGTTCCGGTTGCTGCCACTTGGCTCTCCTGCACCCCGCAGAGGCCCCTTGAGACCTCACACGTGCTACGCACATGCTAGAAAAGACGTTGACACGTTTTCGATTCCATCTCGACACTTCGTGCGGTCGCGATACAACACGAGTTTCCACTTCCGTGTTTTCATATTGGTAGCGGAGCCTCCTCACAGGAGGGGGCTCCAGCATCGCAATGGCTTCGTCGCCGTCCCGCCGCGGAACCTCACGCGACGCGAATGGCGGCAGCTCCTCCGCGAATGCTGGCAAGGATCTGAAGGACAACTTCGTGCCCCGCTTCGACAATACGACCACGACCTATGCTGAATGGCGGAGGCGAGTGACCTTGTACGCCCGGAAGCTTGAGCTTCAAGGGCGGAAGAGCGAAATCGCCCTCAACGTCCTCTCAGTCCTTGAAGGTCCATCCTGGACCCAGTGTGAAGATTTGGATCTCCACGAGCTGGAGAAAGAATCTGGCCTCGACATCCTTCTCAAGCGCCTGGACCGTCAATGGGCGTATGACGCCAAGGTCGAAATGCCGACCCACTTCGAGCAGTTCTTCTTCAAGCTGCGGCGCAAGAAGGACCAGTCGATCCTGGAGTACACCACTGAGTTCCACCAGACCCTCAGGCAGGTCTCAAAGCACAAGGTTGATCTTCCTGAGGAGATCACCGGCTGGATGATGTTGAAGAGAGCCGGGCTGACCAAGGCTCATCCAGACCAACATCGGCTCGACCCTCACGCTCCCAGCTGTCGAGCAGGCTCTCTACCTGATCCTCGGCCAAGATCATCGTCATGTTCACCTTCCTGCACACCTGAGGAAGCCACAGCTCCCCGGCCGATGGAAGAGGCAGAGCCAAGTCTTCTGGGAGGAGGACTATGAGCTGGATGAGAACTACGAGAATGAAGAGACCTACTTCCAGGATGCCATCGACCCCGACGACTTCCAGGAGACCATGGGAGAATGGGATGACCCAGAGCCCGATGACACCTTCTACTATGATGAAGCGCAAGAAGAGCTGGACTCCATGTTTGACACCCAGGAGTTCGATGACAT